ACCTTGCTAAGCTTTTCATACTTGACATGCCTATATGCAAGAATGAAGTTCCGTTAAAATAGAATTTCTACATTTTTGAGGTATTATTCCACGTTACCCCCATAAAAGATAATCCCCACTATATAATATTTATATGAACTACTGATACGTAACAAAAATCAAAATTCCACAATTAAAAAAACCCCAAATTAAATAACAAATACATACTTGAAGTACTAAAATATAATAATGTATTCTGCCTTAATACAGTCTTTTTATACTTTCAAAATCTATTTCTTTAAATTCTCTTAGTACTAAGAATTTTTTTCTTTTATAAGAAATCTTAAGGAATTGCATAAATTGCATGATTGTATAAATTGAGGGAATTGCATGCGGTTGGGTTTTAAGGAGTATTGTATAGGCAATATTTAAGAAAAAAATGGTTTTAATAAACATCGATCATGTCAATTAATTTACCGGTTAATTTGTATTAGCTTCATGGTATTATTTTTAATTTGTATTATTTTGTCCATGAGTAAAAACCACTTTAGTTAATATAACATACATTTTTTGTTCCATCGTACAGGCTGAACCAGTAATCCGATGTAATCTGTAAACATATTTTAATTCGTCATGAAGTTTACTTATGATCGGTTAGGGTGTTTTTTTGATATCTTATTCCTACTATGTATAAAACACGTTTGAACATTATATAAAATTTCAAATTTTAAAATCAAATTTGGAAAGGGTTAAAATTAAAAATTTGAAAAAAGTACCCTGACCTATCATAAGTAAACTTCATGGCAAATTAAAATCTGTTATTAGATTGCTTATTGGATCACTGGTTCGGTCTATGCAATGATATAAAAACGATGTGTTTTGACTGAAAAAAAACCGACAGCATGCAATCCCCTTAATACAATCATGAATCTTCCTTTTAATAAATATGAAGTTACTATTCACCAATATATTTATATTATATACTATATGTATATTTTATTTTATTAAATTCATTTTTTTGTTTGTCACGTTAAAATGAAATAATAATGTTACGTTATTATTATTTTTGATTTTTCATTATTAATATTATTATGATTTTTTTATGCTTTTATGGATCAATTTATAATTTTTTTTTATGTTTGGTGTATTAATAATGTTTTTATTATTTTAGCTTTGTTGCGGAGATGAGAAGGTATTAAATTTACAATGATGTGTTTTTTTTTATCTGGACCCACGACATCTTTTAAACTGTTGAACCGATATCTTCGTGTAGCAATTGTATAGATGTGAAATAGTACCTTAAAGTTACTTTCAAGGGCCTACAGTTTTAATAAAGTCACCCCTCCCTCTTCTAAATCTAGAAAACCACTCAAACAATTTACATATTTTTCAAGCATGCCTCAGTCAATTACAATAATTATCTTTTAATTCCTCCTTCAGAAAATTTAGTTCAAAACCTCACATTGAATTATGCGGTGTGCAACCAATCATTCAGAATACTATTTTCAGACAAAATTAGCAGTGATTAAACACATCGGCTTGCTTTTTAAAAATATAAGTCGACTAGTGTTTCATACGTTTCAAGATTACTGACATTTGACGGTCATGGTGTTATGGATATGTTTGATACACCTCAATTATTCCATTAACATCTTATTGTCACAAACACAGCACTCAATGCGTGCTCAGCCAATCACAATATCATATAATATTTTAATTCCTCCAGTCAATTTATCTTTAACGATAAATCATTTTTTTATTTAGTGTACATAAATGAGTTTAACCAATGAGAATCAAAACATTTTAAATTTGCAAGAAAGTAAGTTTATTGTGATTTAATGAAATTATAATGAGGTTAGTGGAAAAGTATAGACAATTTAATGATAACTATTATGTAGTTAAAATAAAACTGGATAGTTTTATGGCTCCTTTGGATCCGCCCTGTAATTTAAAAAAAACATTACCATCATTTGTTGCCCAAATATAAATTATTATTTTAATGGTTTCATTAGTTAAATAAGTATAAATATATTATTATATATGTTCAGAGAAATCGTTTTAATATTAACCACTTGGATTATAACTACAAATTCATAGTTTTTTCTTTTTGAAAAATGTGCATTTGTTCAGTATAGTATTATAAACAGCTACTAAAATATTTCCATTTTAGCTTCGATGCAGGAGAAAGTATTGTTTTTACAATGATGTGCTTTTATTTTTGTGTCTGCATAATGTCATTTAAACCGCTTTCTTTGTGTAGTAATTTTATATATTAAAAATCGTACTTGTAAGGCTCTTTATTAGGACAAACATTTAAAATGTTTACGTCTTCTCCTTCAAACAAATTCGATTTTTCAATGTTTATTGGTACTAATTTGATTATTTTTGTTGGTGTTTTTCTAGATTTTGAAGGGGAAGGGGTGAACTTTTAAAAGTTTGGGCCCAGAATGTGGGTAACATTCAGGGACAATTTCTGATCTAAAGCGTCGCTACACAAAGAAATCGGTTTAGCATTTTAGAAGATGTCGTGGGTCTAGACACTAAAATACAAGAACACATTATATTATACACATTATACACTATTATATTTATTTTCCTATAATATGAATGTATTGAAAATAATTAATCACCTGATATATATCTGAATGTTTTTAATTAGAAGCAGTAAATTCCATTTTATCGGGGTGATATGTAACTGTCTGACTCAATGCATGATAATTACTATTATTTACAAAACAAATATTAACAAATGCATCCATGTCTTGATCAAATCGAGTCCATTGCATTATAGTTTCATTAAATCTAACGACAGGAACACAAAACTGATGATGATTATGATGACATATTAAACAGTTGAACAACTTTTTGGCCGCTATACAAAAATGTAAAGTAATTTAAAATATATTACATAATTTTAAAGTACAGTGAAAATTATTAATGATACTTTTTATTAGTGTTAAATTTAACTGTAACACACAAAAGTGCAAACACATTATATTCATTTGTTTTCACAAATTATTATTGGGTATTTTTTGATATTGTCGCATAAATAGAGAGAACAAAATGAATTATTAAATAATTAAATAGATGTAGTTAGATATTAAATAGATCATTGCGTACACACGTGGAACAAATGAAAATAATTAATCATTGAAATTCCCCAAATCGAAGAACTGATAAAAAGTAAAAAATGACAATAAAAACATACCTCTTTTAGTCATTGCGGCAGCACATTGATCTAAAAATAACAATAAACTAAAAGTTATGATGGTTGATATAATTAATACATTTTTCAAAATTATTTACCTAATGTACCTATCATAAAATGTATGTGTTTACTTATTTACATAAGGTGCATAATTCCTGAGCAGTCGAATAATTATTGTTTTTAATCTATGGCTGTCTCAATACAAAAAAGGTTTAAATACTCTACTCAAATTATTTGAAAAAAGAGTTTCTATTTAAATAATACAATTTTTAAGCTCAACTGTCCTGGTATGGTTCTACCACATAAATTAACAAAACATATTATAAACTACTTAATAACAAGTACAAAAAAGAACCCACGCAAAGATTTCGAGCCACCCAATAGGTGGGGAGATTCTCAGGTCAAAAAATATGTTTTATATTGGCTGAGGGTCATAGAACTAGTCTAAAAACGGAGATTCTCCATTAACTACACAATAATATTTATTATTGTGTAGTTAATTGTAAGGTGTTACTTACCAGGTTGACGAACATAAGCAAAAGTGCATCCTGTACAAAAAAAAAACATGTACTTTTATTAACCTGTCGATAATTAGTAGCTATTTGTTACTTACCAGGTGGCCAGTTCCTCTTGCCTAGATAATCTAAATATAATGAATAAAGGTAGAATTAATGTGAATTCTTACTCGCTTATTTAGATTAGTGAATTAACTATGTATAACGCATCCAAGTGATCAATTGAAATCAAAGTGAGTGTGAAGACAATAAGTAAATTTTTAATTTAATAAATCTATCTATAAAATACTCTAAAAAATGTTTACTAAGTACACATAAAAATGTTCTACAGTTCAAATTTTTTATAAAAACAAACAGAGTAAATTTATAACGTGCCTATAAATGCTAGTTAATACTTACGTGGTGGTATTGCACATCCTGGAACAACTGAAAGTTAACAACAAAATTAGGAATCAATTATATTTCATAGTTGCATATATTTTATGTTTGTGAATAAAGAAAAGAAGTATAATAAATGTAATTTATCAAATTCTATCTATACAATACACCATAAAAGTTTACTAAGTGTTCATAAAAGTACTCCATTTAAGTTGTCCTCCGTCGTAGTAAAAATGTTCAACAATTCAAACTCTTATACAAAATTGACAAAAATCTACATGTATGTTTTATAACGTGCCTTTAATTACTTGGTGATACTTACCTTGGTCGGGACACATCATTGGTACACCAGATGGGACTAAATTTAAGATAACAAATTAGTTATCAATATGAATTAATACTCCAATACATATAGATAAATAGTCGATTTATTTATTTTATCAACTTGAGATTGAAGAAATTAATAAAAGTGGGGTACAGCTATTTAACAAAAAAGTTATAAAAGTTGGTTAAAAAAAAAATTTTGATTTACTTTTAACAAAAAAAATCTACAATTCAAACTTATAAAGAAAATGTATGAAAAAAACAATAAAAATTGTACATAGTTCCTTTAATTGCTAGATGTTACTTACCTTGTGGAGGATATGGACCTAAACGTAAAGAATAAAAAAAGGAATCAATTTTATTTCATTGTTGCATACATAATACGTTTTTGAATAAAGAAAATAAGTATAATAAATGTAATTTATCAATTTCTATCTACACAATACACCATAAAAGTTCACTAATTACACATAAAAAGTACGTGTAATTTTACCTCCGTCGTAGTTAAAATGTTTAACAATTCAAACTCTTATACAAATTTAAAAAAAATCTACTTATGTTTTATAAAGTGCCTTTAATTATTGGGCGATACTTACCTTGTTGATACATTGGTACACCAGATGGGACTAAATTTAAGAAAACAAATTAGTTATCAATATGAATTAATACTCTAATACATAAAGATAAATAGTCGATTTTTTTATTTAATCAACTTGAGATTGAAGAAACTAAAAAACATGGGGTACAGCTAATATGATTTTATAGTCATATACATATTATGTAAGTGTGTGAAGAAATAAAGTAAAATAAATTTAATCAATCAACGTCTTCTATCTGTACATTACTCCAAAAAATTTACTAAGTGCAAAATAAATAAACTCTTTTTAAGTTTTTCTCCATCGTAATAAACGTCCTACTTAATGAAATATTTTATCTCTTCAGAATAAAAAGGTTGCACAATTCAAACTTTTATTTAAAATGTATAAAAAAAAACAAAGTAATTTTATAACGGATCTACAATTGCTAGATGATACTTACCTTGTTGTGGATATCCCATCGAACTTGATGCACCACCTTAACGTTAAGAAACAAATAAGGAATAAATATGATTTCGTAGTCGCATACTTCATATTATGTAAGTGAGTGAAGAAAATAAGTAAAAAAAATAGTTTAATTAATCAACTTCTATCTATACAATACTCTATAAAAGTTTACTAAGTACGCATAAAAATGTACTTCAATTTAAACCTTTATTTGAAATGTATAAAAAAAAAAATGTTATTTTATAAAATGCCTTTAGTTGTTAAATGTCACTTACCTGGTGGTGGATATTGACCTAAACGTAAATAATAAAATAAGGAATCAATATTATTTTATAGTCACATTAATATTATGTAAGTGTGTGAAGAAATAAAGTATAGTATCGTATAGTATACCTTGGGGAAGATACATTGGTCCACCAAGTGGGACTAAATTTAAAAAAACTAAATTAGTTCTCACTATGAATTTATACCCTAATACATAATATAGATAAATAGTCTATTTTTATTTAATCAACTTGAGAATGAAGAAACTAATAAAAATGAAAGACAACTATTTAACAAGCCAATGAGTGAAAATAATTTAATTAATCAACTTGTATTTATACAATGCTCCATAAATGTTTACTAAGTACGCATAAAAATTTACTTCGATTTAAACTTAATTTAAAATGTATAAAAAAAAATCAAAGTAATTTTATAACGGGTCTACAATTGCTAGATGATACTTACCTTGTTGTGGATATCCCATCGAACTTGATGCACCACCTTAACGTTAAGAAACAAATAAGGAATAAATATGATTTCGTAGTCGCATACATATTATGTGGGTGAGTGAAGAAAATAAGTAAAAATAGTTTAATTAATCAACTTCTACCTATACAGTACTCTATAAAACTTTACTAAGTTTACTTTATCTAGTGGCATTCATTCGAAATATGACAACTCTTCTTTCATTAAAGTCCTACCAGAGCGCTGTAAGTCCAATACTTCACAACCTACAGCCGTTTGACACCCTACCATTATTTTTGATACACCCTGTATTATGTTAGTGAATAAAGAAAATAAGTATAATGAAATATGTAATTTATCAACTGCTATTAATACGATACACCAAAAAAGTTTACTAAGTACACTTAAGAATGTCCTACAATTCAAACTTTTATATAAAAAGAAACAAAGTAATTTTATAACGTGCCCATAATTGCTAGATAATACTTACCACCAGGTGGACGATTTGGTACCATATTGGATAGACCGCCTAAACGTTAAGAACAAAATAAAGAATCAATTTGACTTCATTGTTGCATACATGTTATGCTAGTGAATAAAGAAAATAAGTATAATAAATATAATTCATCAACTTCTATTTGTACAATACTCTATAAAAGTTTACTAAGTATGCATAAAAAGTACTCCATTTAAGTTGTCCTCCGTCGTAATAAGGTTCTGCTTAATGAAATATTTGATATTTTCAGAATAAAAATGTTCTACAACTCTAACTCTAAAAAAATTGTATAAAAAACAAACTTATTTTATAATGTAAGTGAGTGAAGAAAATAAGTATAATAAATTTAATTAATAAACTTCTATCCAAGGTAACTAATTATATCAAAGCACAACTTTTACAATGGTTTGGACACGCTATGAGAAGAGATAAAACAAAAGCTGCGAGGGCAGCAATATCATATCAACCAAGTTGAAAAAGACCAAGAGGTAGACCAAGGAAGCAATGGTTGACGGGGTAAGCCGAGACTTAAGTTGTGTGACTAAATATAAAGGACAAAATTAGTTATCAATATGAGTTCATACTCGCATACTTAGATGTTTGAAAAGAATATAATATAAGGTGTTCAATAAGTAAGATTTTATCAATACAATATATTGTTATCATTAAATTAGATAAATAGTTGATGTTTAGATAATCAACTTGAGATCCATGAAACAAAAAAAACGAGGTACAACTATTTAATAAACCCAAAAAATAATAAGTAAATGATTGAAAATGTAAATAGAAATTTATCAGAAATAACATTTAATTTGATATATAAAAAAAAAATTTTTCTATCTCATTATTTTTTAAAAATAATTTTTTTTTTGTTAAGAGAGAAATGCTTATGTTCAATAATACATGTTTTATCTACTAAATGGAATATTTTATCTCTTCAGAACAAAAATGTATACAAAGTATAAAAAAAAACAAAGTAATTTTATAACGTGCCTATAATGGTATGAAGATACTTACCTAGTGGTGGTTGTTGTGCCATACTACTGAGGTCGACTAAATATATAGAACAAAATGAGGAATTAATATGATTTTACAGTCGCATAAATATTATATAAGTATGTAAAGAAAGTAATTAAAACTATTTAATTAATCAACTTGTATTTATGCAATACTCCATAAATATTTACTAAGTATACATAAAAGTATTCCATTTAAGTTTTTCTCCATCGTAATAAAGATTGCATGCGGTCTGTTTTAAGGAGTTTTATATAGGCAATATTTAAGAATTCTCATTATTTTTTAACAATAATTTGTCATTATAAAGTAGGTCAAAAACACTGATGTCATGTTTATATCGATGGAATTTAAAAGCCCTACAATCTAAATTTCGTATAACAAATTTATATATAAAATTAAGTAAAATTTGTAGAAATTTGTCGAAAATAAATAAAATCATTTTAGTGATAATAAAAAATAAAGCACAACATTATAAAAAGAATACCTTCTTAGTTTCGTATTGAAGCTAATTTATGTATAAATTATATTTTATGACCAAGTAAACGCTTCAATGCGAATCAGTAGAATGAACAAGTAATAATTATTGTTTAAAATCAATGTAGTAGCAATAACATTTTTGCTGTCTGTGTATTGAATTCATAGTTGGTACTTACGTGTTCGATATGACCCTGCATGTGACATTAAATAAAAAGAACAAAATTAGTTATCTATATCACTTCATATTAGCATATATTTTAAGATAATGAAAAGTGGACATGCTCCTCATTAAATACCCATGATGGTATATCCGAATGAGAATAAAGAAAATCTCACACAATGGTTTGATGCAGTCAGTCTATTTCTATTATATTATGATGCTAAAGATCGAAGCAGCTTCTATTCCAATCTAGATTTTAGCATAGTGGCAAAGACGGAGTGGTAGTACATCACCCTGGAGCAAGAAGCTGTCACACAGTGGTGTGAAATACAAATTATCTTGCCTTAACTAATATCTCCCAACACGAAGGAAGAAAAATTCCGATATTCCCAATGTTATGTTTATAAGATCAGTAATCTCAATTCTAGAACAGGGTGATTCTTTTATCATTAACCACTCAATATCTCATAGGGTAGGTATAACTTCAGTAACCCCCCAAAAAAAATAAGTAAATGATTGAAAAAGTAAACATGAATACCTATGGCATCTCCTAATAAGTATGAAAATATTGAAAATCTCACACAACGGGTTGATGTAATCAATCTATTGCTATTATATTATGATGCCAAAGATCAAGACAGCTTTCATTCCAATAGAACAATATTACAACCTAGATTTTAGATCATCGCATAGTGGTATGATGCAGAGGCAGTGAGGGGTTTTATGAAGATGATTGTAGAGGAAAAGAGAGGAAGAAGAAGACCGAAGAAAAGATGGGTGTGTAAGAGACATATAGGGGCAGTCATTCGAAATTTGACAACTCCCTCTTTCATTTAAGTCCTATCAGAGCGCTGTAAGTCCAATACTTCACAACCTATAGCCGTTTGAAGCCCCACCATTATTTTTGATACACCCTGTATTATATTAGTGAATAAAGAAAATAAGTATATTAAAATATGTAATTTATCAACTGCTATTAATACGATACACCAAAAAAGCTTACTAAGAACACATAAAAATGTCTTACAATTCAAACTTTTATATAAAAAGAAACAAAGTAGTAGTTTTATAACGTGCCTATAATTGCAAGGTAAATTTTTGAAAAAGTGATAAAAGTTGATTAAAAAAAAACATTTAATTTGATAAAAAAAAAATCTACAATCCAAACTTATAAAGAAAATGTATACAAAAAACAAGAAAATATTTATATAGTTCCTTTATTTACTTACCTTGTGTTGGTGGTGGATATGAACCTAAACGTAAAGAATAAAATAAGGAATCAACTTGACTTTATTGTTGCATATATACAAGTTGAACGAGAAAAATATTAATAATGCATCTACTATCAATTAAAATACATAAAAATTAAATTAAAATATTTAAAAATTACATACCTTAAATATAGTATATTTTTGATTTCGTATAATCATGATTAAATATAATGGAAGTCTCTCTCAATCTCTCTCTCTCTCTCTCTCACAATGCTATGAAAATTAAAATAACTTTTGTTCTAGTGAATATGTTCAAGATTGTTAGTAAATAGACCATAATATTAAATTTTAAAAAGTGGAACGGTTAATAATAATAAGAACCGTGGGGTTTATAGCGCGAACGAGTATCAATTAATTAAAAAAAAAAAAACCCTAAAACATATTTACTAGAACAAAACTGATTACATTTGTCAAATCTTTGCGAAACACCCTGTATATTATATACATATAGATAAGACAACCTCTAAAAAATTATGTTAGCATGAATATGTTTTTCGGGCTGAGTACACACATTTCATTTGCGTCATAAGTTTCACGATACTATTTTCGCATTGTTGTTTCCCCTCCTATCTCCTCCTCTCCCCTCCCCTTTACCGTTTACCTTCCCCCCTTCCCCTCCTTACGTTCTCTTTTCTAATCTTCCACTGTCCCCTCCCTTTAAGCAAAGAGTCTTCTAATTCCAAAAACCTACCATTTCCACCCATGATATATAGTAGAAAAAATAAGTAATTTTTTACCAGTAAATCAAATGAAAAGTTTTGTCCTTAATTGATTACCGAATTATACATAAAGTATTTATATTGTTTATACTGACCGCCCGGTGGTCCTCCTCCAACTATTTAAATAAATTATACAAATTAAATTAATGTTTGCCACATTTAAAGTGTTATAATAACGTATAGAAAAATAACAATTGAATAGTTTTCATTTTTTACACATATTTATAGCATTTACATATATTTTATGTTGGTGCAACTTTCGGAAAAAAAAATCTTTAATTTTATTTTAAGTTTTTGATGCCGTGTATAAATATAATTTCTAACTCATCCGTTAGTCTACTTATAGTACTATGCTACAACAAGATAGAAGTGTACCGGGTGATTGGTTAACTATGACCGAGTCAATAGCTCAGAAGATATTAGACTTTTTTTTTTACTTTTATAGTTATTAGTTGGGACAAATTTAATATATTTCTGTTAAAGTTTAAAATTTAAGACGGGAGAAAGAGTGGAGAGTAAAAATACTTTTATCTGACTCAACCGGGTCAGAGAATCACCCGGTACATTAAAATAAATATGTTATATGTGTATAAAAAAAACTAAGTAAATTTTATAAAGTGTCGTTAATTGGCTATCGTTAATTACCTGGACTTGGATGACCTTGTGTGACTAAAATATACGAATAATAAAATTAATTATCAATGTACATAAATTCATTACCGAATACGTAAGTTTGTGAGGAAATGATGTATTATAAATTCAAGAAATTAACTTTTTCCAATACTATAATATTATTATGTCACTTAAAATAACTAAGCCACAACTATAGGTAGTATATTATTGTTAATTAAAAAAAAAAAGAAGTATTGTAAAAAAAAATTCTAAAATTACCCAGCGATATTTCCATGATGATGGCAGCTATAAACAAAATGGTGATATTTTTCATCTTGTAATAATGAACGAATGAATGTTTCTGATTCTAAATAACACCGTTAAGTTTTACCTACAATAGACAACTGAGTAACGTCCAGAAAAAACTCTATCTGAACAGTATAATATAAATTATTTAGCGGCTTTGTGGAAACGGTTTTACTTAAGCATGACGCAAAAGATTCCGATTTATTTGATTTATTACACAAAAAAAAAAAAAACGATACATTGGCAAAGTAAACACTGACAAAGTAAACAATTCGTCTGTAATAACAAATTTCTGCTAACGTTGCGACTGATGCTTGCTCAAATTTTACTAAAATTTCTAATATTTTTCGAACATAGTGTCGGACATACATAGGTAAAAAATTACAAATAAAGCAAGAATTTTCCAGTATTAGGAAGAAAACAATTATTAGGGTACATCGTTCGTGTACAATAATTCGATGCCATCGTTACCGGTCAACGACAGAAAGAATACTAACAGAGGATCTTAATACACTGGGACACTAACATTTATGACTGGAAACTGAAACCTAACAATGACGTCTGGTACTTTTTAACCCCCCCCCCCCACCGCCAATTGAAACGGTAATCGATTTTAGTAAAATTCCACAGCTATGGACGAAAACAAACGAGGGGAATCCCCATCTCGAGCATGGTAACCCTGGTCACCCGCCCCAAGTTCTACCAATATAATCTTGATTAGATACCCTTAAATGCATAACCGTGTCATACTGTCAATTTCGGAAAATCCGAGTATAAATGTTTTAGTTGTGGTTACGGTTTTTTATTGATTGAACACCTTCCCGGCTCCGCGTTGAACTAAAATTTAATTTACATATCATATACAGGGTGATTTTTTTATCAAGAGCCACTCAATATCTCATTGGGTTTAACGAGAAATTAATTTCCATATTGTTTTTATACAATGTTGTCTCAGTTTTTCACATTTTTTTTTTTTGTTTTTACCACCCTCTCAACTTAGTTTTTTTGATGGCATTTTTTGAAACTTAAAAGGTAACGTATATATTTTATCAATCTTTTAAATTGAAAATAATGTACTAAAAAATTTTGACTGGTCGATAACCAGTTTCGGATAACTATTTTTAAAGTTATAAGAGTTTTTTAAAATTAGGATGGGAGGGGAAGTGCGCTTGGGAAATGCGCGCAGATAAAAATAATACTACACTCCACCTTTCCTCCTGCCCTAAACTTGAACTTCAATAAATTAAAAAATAGTTATCCAAAACTAGAGATATTGAGTGGCTTATGATAAAAAAAATCACCCTGACAAGGTTGGTCCTTATTTTTGAAATTTAAAATTTTTATTTGCAGACCTCTCTAGATTTGTTCTTACAAATATAAAAATAATGCGTGTAAAAGTTGGTCATGGTTTATCAACCCCGATACTCACCCCAAGAAGATTAAAAATTTTGGGGTTAGTTTTTTATAATTATTTAAAATTTTTTTTTTACTTACAGTAAGATTGCTTAGAACTTTTATTATCAATAAAATTATTTCCTATAACAAGTGTATTTACAAAAAAAAAAAAACAATTAAAAAAGAAGTGCACTTTTTAAATAATTCCTTTAATAATAATTATAAAAACATATTTGCCGGTTCCTTAAAATAAAAAAAACATTATACTAAAAACCGTATAATTTTAATAGTATATATGTATATTTTATAATTATGTGCAGTTAGAGAGAATTGGAGGGCTTAACTCCCCACAAAATAAACTAGCAAAACCCTCCCCCCCACCTTTTCCTCGAAAAAATGTTGCCAAAAATTTAATAGTGAAGCTACTTTTTTGGAGTAAGTAGAATAGTTTTTGAGATGAATAGAAAAAACAAAACAACTACCCCAAATTTCAAATTTCTAACCATATTGGAGCACGTGCACGTGGTGAATTAATCATGATCAAACTTTAGACACATTATTTCTATAAGTGTGAAAACAAATTTGAGGTGTCTGCGAAGCAACAATTTTAGAAAAAAATTGTACCTCTACTACTAAGGACCACCGTCAAAAATTTGATTCCCATTGGAATTTATTCTAAGTATGACTCGAGTTGTGATTGGGTTGACTCGAGATTGGCCGGCGGTGTAATAACTATACAACTTTGGTTTAATAGCTTTTCACTTTTTCTCATCGCAATTCGCTCAATTATTTTATTAGTGTATCATGATAACTAAATACCTAACTATTATAGTACCCTTTAGTGTAACCTCTATTAGTTACATAGTACCAATTGCTTTGAAAATAAGAGCTGTATCATTTTTCTGCCGTTATTTCTGATACATAGTTATCACAAATTGGTGGTAACACGAATAATGGGACCTTTTCAGTAGCATCGACAGAACTGTTTACCTAACCAAAGGCTTGAATTTGGACTAATGTGTTGGATTTTATTTTTGATACTCTGAATTTTCAATGTATGGAATGCACTAGTGTGTATTATTATAAACGACGAATCGTGTAAGCAACACACGGTTAGTTATATATTTTTTTTACCCTAAATTCGTATCGATATGAAATAACACACGAGTGGATAATAATACACATAGAAACACTTAGTAATGTACCCAGATTTTCAGATTGTCTTATTTGTTTAGCTTGGTATCGACGTGGAAATCATTTATGAGCAATGGCCCGCTCGATACACTGTTCTAAATCAACACACACCCACATAAACGGTTTTACAAATTTGGAATCTAGCACACAATAATGTGTTGAAAAATAATTTGAAAAAACAACGCGATTTTCAATTTAATATAATATGTAGGATCAATCTGTGTACCCTGAATTGTTATTGTAGAAATCGAATTTAAGCCCATCCAGTACCAATGGGGTAACATAATAAAATTGTAAAATACTGCCCCCCCCCCCCAAGAAAAATGGAATAAAAATCACTTTCAAATAAACGAACAACTAATTGTAGAGTGCCATCTTTGTGGAATGCGGTTAATGTTGAGGTTACAAATATTATGAAAAACATTTAATCATTTGTACACAAAAGTTTTTTGATTAATGTACATAAAAATGTTAACTTTACATTTTCCCATTTGTTAGCTAGAAGGGATAGAAACGATATGTCATTTTTACACATTCTCAAGCCATGACTATAGGGATTTAGGTCTGAAAAGTAAAAGGTAATGAAATTATTGACTACTACTACTACTATACTGATTTTTTATACGTTTACACAAATAATATTTTTCACTATATTATGCATGACCAAATAAATACATAACATTTTCAATTTGTAAGAGAGTATAAGTTTTATTTAATGGAAATATAATGTGGGTTATGCACTAGTATATAAACAATTTATTAATAATTATTCTGTATTTAAAGAAACTGTATATTTTTTATGACACCTTTGGATCCATTCTGTAATGAAAAAAAAACGTTGTTATCATTCGTAGCTCAAGTATAAATTAATTTTATTACTAAAATAAGTTAATTTTGTATGTATATTACATGAAGATTGTAGTTAGGTTAGGTTATATATATATATTCAGGGAAATCGATTTAACACAAGACACTTGGAAAATAATTACAAATTTATAGTTTTACTTTTTCTGTGTTTATATTTTATTTATATGAACAGTATTATAATATTATAATGAACTATTTTCTTGTCTAGCTTCGATGCAGAAGGAGAAGATATTGTTTTAACAATAATGTGTTTTTATTTTTCAATTTTTTTTTCTGGATATTTTTAAACCCGCTGAACCGGTTTGTTTGTGTAACTGTATAGATTGAAAATCGTACCCGTAAAGAACTTTATTGGGCAGAAATTTAAAAGGTTTACCCCCTTTCCCTTCAAAATTGAAAACCAATCGTACAAATTATCTATTTTTCAACTTAAAACTTATGGTGCTCTATAACTTTTTTAAAAATACTTGAATAAGTTCAAATTTGTATGGACCGTTCTTTAAACATAACACTAACGATAAACGTTGGTAAACCCAAAAAAAGGTGAAAATTACAACTTTGACCGTAGTCTCGTTTCTGGGTTGCTATTTTATTATATTGCTAATCAGCTACCTAATTATATGGGTAACTATGACAATACATTTTTATAGACAGGTGATCAGCCCTAATCGTATCCATCCTAATACTTAATACTAATATGTATGCACATGTCGTTCCAAAAGTTTAATGCTATACTACTTTTTTTTTTATGTAAGTAGCATTAGATTTTGAAACAAATAGAATAAACTAAAAAACTAGCCTTAATTTCAAATATTTAACCCTACTGGGGAACATATTAGTATGTAAAATTTTACACACATTATGTTTAAGCGTAATAACAAATAAAGGAGGAACAGCCAAGTATAATTATGAGAAAAAAATTGGGCATCTATTACTAAGGACCACCCTAATATGATACATAGGTCGATAGCCAGATGTAACCCCCCCCCCCCCCATAACTTCCAAGTCTAATTATAAAAAAGATAAATAATTGGTAATTTTTAATTGTCGACAAATAGCATAGATAATCATTTTTCAAACAGAAAAAAGCTATAAAATTGTAATTATTTTCCAAAAAAAAAGAATGTCTTGCACTAAATGAATAACCTGGTTAATACAGGGTGAATCATTCATCGCGGGTCACTCAATATCTCATAGGGTTTAATAAGAAATTTAATTTTTTTTTCATATTATCTTTATTCAATGAGATCTCAACTTTTCACAACATTTTTTTTCTTTTAACCCCCTCTCAACTAAGGTTTTTTTGACAGCATATTTTGAATTTTAAATGGTAACGCTTACATTAAAGTTATTGAAGTTTCAAGTTTAGGGCAAGAGGAAAGATGGAGTGTAGTATTGTTTTTATATGCGCGCACTTCACAACCGTACTTCCCCTCTCGTCTTAAATTTTAAATAATATGAATTGCTAATGACTCTTGAAAAATTGAGATCACATTACACATAAACACTATGAAAAAAAAAATTAAATAAAATTATTAATTAAACCCAGTGAGATACTGCGTGGCCCATGATAAAGTAATCGCCCTGTATACGTATGTTTTTGAAGGTACCTCAGCAATGGTGATGACATTGTTGGCGAAGTCTGAATGCGTTATAATGCGAATCCCATTCAACCTGGTCATGAGTGTAACCAGGAAAACCATATTGGCAAAGGTGAACAGGAACTAATTGACCTGTACTAGGATCCCTTTTGACCCATCTTCTCTGACATCTTGACCAACTAATTTGCGGATGATGACAATGTTGGATTATGACAGGAGGACGACTAGATGGATATTGAGGAACAGATATAGAAGAACTGGAGGGAGTATATTGAGAAACAGTATAGGGAACACTTGGCCGAGGAGCAATATTATATTCAGAAGAAACGGCCATACTTTGAGAAGGACGAGACGAATTATATGATACAGGATTATAAGGAGCATTTGAAAGTGGAGGGGCAGTGTATGATACAGGATTATAAGGAGCATTTGAAAGTGGAGGGGCAGTGTATGAAACAGGATTATAAGCCAAACTTGAAGAAGGCAGAGGAGCCGTTTTTGCAGGAGTGATGACAGTGACACTAGTAGAAGGACGAGCAAGAGGACATGGAGGAGGATTTGAAGATTCACACGAAGAATCGGAAGACTCAGAAGAATGACAAGGAGCAGCATCACACGCAAGAGGACAATGGGCACGAGAAGAAGCACAGGAAGCATCATCACGTTCAAGAGAACACTGAGAATGAAAGCAGCTGAACTCTGTGAAAACATGTAAAGTAATTTGAACATTATAAAATTATATTGCACACAACTTATTAAACGTAATGTATGGATACAAAACATATTAATTGGTTTTTTTTTTAAATTTAACCAGTGTTCAAAAGCGTCCCGTCCCATTTTTGAGAACGGACATCCAATAAGGTAATTATTTGATTAATGAGCTTTTATTGTGAATTGTTTAGTATTGTTACTTAAATAGTGCGAACAAAATTAATTATTCTATAATTAAATAGACGTAGATCATTGTGTACACATCATAACTTAACAAATGTAAATAATTAACTGCACTTGCATTTCCTAAATCAAAGGACTGATAAAAAGTATAAGGTGGTGAAAAAACGTACCTCTTGCTATTCTTTTGAATTTATCTCTTAAATACTCTAAAATAATAATAAACAAAAAAAATTAGATTATGCAATATGGAACGTATGTATTACAAATAGGTGCAGTGTTTAAAGATTAGTATCAAAGAGTTTATTTGAAAGTGGTTTTATCACTTTTATTACCAATAATTCCTGTAGACTTGTGACCTCTCCGTCCCCACTATGTTTTGATCCCATTATGCCTCAACCCCACTGTACTGGCTTACTTGGATAAAATCACTCTCAAATAAACACTTATAAGGCAAGTAGCAGGCTAGAAACAAAATAATTAATCGTCTCGAGATGATAAAATAATATGGGCCCAATTATTATTACTTACAGACCTGTGTATTGTTTATAAACAAATTTAAAAAGGGACATTTTTTATCTGTTTGGCTATAAATAATTGTGTACTACTACATTATTGTTACAGCTTGTATACATATAAATATATAAGTGTTATGTGAACATATCTTCGATGCTGAGAAGTTACTGTTTTGCTTATTTTAAGTCGATATTTGTTTAAATAAAACAACATTTTATGAATGAATTTTTGTGTATTTACTTATTGTACCGATATCAGAAAACAATGCAACTAGGTTAGTTACCTACTATTTTGCTGTATTGTATTAATAGAGCCTGTACGTTATACTTACAATGTAATGGAAATTTGAGTGAAATCGATATTGTATACCAATTTTGTATTTCTAAACGACTTTTGAACAAGTACAAAACAATAGCCAACACCTAATGGTCGAGCCGTAGAGGCTCAGAGTCATAGAATTGTTTATACTTATTAAGCATTAATTACATGATTTATTGTTATTATTATTTATCTATTCCTATTCAACATATTAAATGCATACCCTTCATAGTAAACGAAGGTAAAAATATACTTGATATCCAAGAAAGCAATAGTGTTACACTATAATAACATAATGAATAAGCAGTGGAATAGGGCATAGTGTATATAATGACTATAGTATAATTTATAACGTGCAAATTGTTTTTTATTTTTTACTTACTAGAAAAAAAAAGAGGATCATTATGTTCATGTGATTCACTTGAATGACCTGATTGCACTATACAGAACAGAATTTATAAAAAAAAAATTGAGTAATATTTATTAACGTGCAGCAGTTAATAGCTATTTGTTACTTACCATGTGGACGTGGCTGGCTTTGCGAGACTAAAATGTATAAAGAATAGAATTTTGTATTAATGTAAATTTATACTTGCAAATTTAGATTTATGAAGTAATTATGGATAATGCATTCAAGTGATCAATTGCAATCAAAACAATAGAATGAATGTTATTATTAACTACCGTAAAAATTTCAGATGGGTAATCAACTTGAACAAATAAAGTAAAACAAATGTTAAATAATTTACAAACACATTTTACCTAATGATATACCGATAATGGCGAGGGCTAGAAAAATAATAGTAAATGTTTGCATCTTGTAATAATGGACGAATGAATGTTTCCAATACTAGAAACCACCGCTTAGTTGTACAACAGAGAACTTACAGAGAACGTACGGTAAGTCGCTTTAAATGAACATAATACACAATGTTTCAGCAAGTGTTGGTCGACCTAAATAACAATGTTTTATTAAAGTATGACGCAAACGACTGTTAACGTCTGTTAAATAAAAAAACCATCCGAGTGTATCGCGAGACACACAAAATAAGTTGAAATCGTATATTTCAACATGTACTGTTATTTACAATGTTAAGTAAAATAAGATTTTGAATATTTAAAAATAAAATAAGTAAATCACTCAATATCTTATTGGGTTTATTAATAATTTTTTTTTTTTTTTTTCATAGTGTTTTTGTGAAAATTTGAGATAACATTGTATAAAAACACTGGAAAAATAGTTGTAACAGGGTTTATTAAACACTATGAGATATTGAGTGGTTCAAGATCACATTAGTTCATGTATAATGTCTTTCCTGTAAACATTTTTAGGAATAGGTAAAGAAAATATAAATTCATATTTGTACGCATTTACCGAAAGGTTATGTCTTATTTAACAAATAAAGATTGTATGAAAAGCTTTACAGGTAGAAAATTATTTGTATCATATCTATGAAAATAATGAATATATTGTACATTTTAAAATTGTATTTGTTTTAATTGTTCGACGAATTTGTAATATAATTCAACTTACTTGAAAGCAATTTTGTCATTAAATTATATGTTTTTTTTTTTCGAATAAAAAAATACATTTCAATAAGTACTGTCCCTGTGACCATTGTATACTCAGTTCAAATAACTTTTTACCCTCGTTTTCACTAAAGGGTTCATCGCTGTTTCAATTAATTTGTAAAATCTTATGTCATCAAAATAGCTGTTCACTATATTTAATGTACTTTTCACTTAGAATCCTAATTAATTGGCATTAATCCCTTACACTCATAACTAATTTACTACATTCTTGAAAATCATACGTTTTATTTCAAACAGCTTGTATATTAATTGTACATAAATTTTATATTTTCTGTCTTAATACAATCTATAACAACGTTTAAAACTATTTTTTTAACTCCCATAATATTTTTAAATTTACTCCCATGTAGCTTATTAAATTTTAATTTCATTGTAACATGATTTACTCATATTCTATATTATTTTAATAGTCACTATTATAAAAAAAAAATGTTTACCTTTTTTATTTTGAGGTTAAATTGTTGAATTTTTTCTTCTTTATTTTTTTATTGTATTTCTTTAGTTAAAGTTATTTATATCTTTTTTATATACACACATGTTAGTTCAACATAATACTATAAAAATTAAATGACAAATTATTGTATAGTTACATTTTTCCAATTTCAATTCTTTATTTTAAGTTTAATTTAAAACTTTTAAATATTATATCAAAACATCTTTTTTTTATAGTCGGTTCCACGGTACTTTTACATTTTTTTTTTTGTACACAAATATAACTCAAATACAAATTTTTGAAAAATTTCATTTGAAGAGCAAAATTGTTTAATTGTTTAATTGGCATTTATTAATAAAGTAAAATTATAACTGTTTATCTGTCATATCTAATCTTGATCAAATCATGAGTAATCCTATTAATATATGAAGTTGATGTTCACCAATATACCTTTAATATCCCAATTTCTTTTTTATTAATATTTATTATTTTCCAACAAAGCAGAACCACTAACCGTAGAATACTTATTATACTATTTTCAACCAAACTTAGCAGTGATTCAAGTCACCGATTTGCATTTCCAAAGTCAAGTCGACTCGAGTTTTTTAAATGTTTGAGATATGCACAAACATATCATATTCAAACGCATCTCAGCCCATCACAATAACTACTTTTTAATTACTTCATTTAATTTGTCTTCAACGACAAATTATGTTTTATTGAGAGTACACAAATTAACATGACCAATGAAAAACAAAACGATTTCAATTTACATGAGAGTAAAAGTTTACTGTGATTTAATGGTAATATAATGTTAATTGTGTAAATGTATAATAATAATTAAATAATAATAGGTTATAATGACTATTCTGTATTGAAAGAAACTGGATATTCTATGGCACCTTTGGATTTAATCTGAAATACAAAAAAAGTTATTATCATTCGTAGCTCAAATTAAAATTATTTTCATTTTTGTCAAATTTTTTTGTCTGGATATCTTTTAAACCGCTGAACCGTTTTGTTCATGACAAACGATCAGCCCAAATCGTATCCACTCTAATACTAAAAATCAATATTTTTGTTCATGTCGCCCAAAAAGTTTAATATTGTAACTACTATTTTTGCGCAAGTTTTGTAGATTTTAAATCAAATAAAATTTTTTTAAAAAACCACCCCTAATTTCAAATGTTTAACCCTAAATGGGGCACTTTTCAATTATGGTCAAATTTTCTACACAACTTTTTTATGTGTAAAAACACATTTGACGGGACTGGGTTGGGTTATGTTAGTAATAACCCCGAAAATTGCCAAGTCTATACTAAGAAAAAATTAATATTCGGTAATATTAAATTGTCGACAAATAACATAAATAACAAATCTTTAATCGGAAAAAATCTATAAAATTGTAATTATTTTCTGATTAAACAAATGTCTTGAACTCTATGAATAACCTGGTAAGTACTTGAATGGCTCATTTATCATTGGCCGCTCCATATCTCATTGGGTTTAATAAGAAATTAAATATATTTTTCATATTGTCTTTATTCAATGAGATCTCAACTTTTCCCAGTTTTTTTTTTTACTTTTAGCCCCTCTCAACTTAGTTTTTTTGACAGCATATTTTGAATTTTAAATGGTCACGCATATGTTTTATTAACTTTTTAAACAGTGATATAATATACTAACAATTTTGACTGGTCGTTAACCAGTTTCGGATACCAATTTTCGAAGTTTTTGAAGTTTCAAGTTTAGGACAGGAGAAAGGGTGGAGTGTAGTGTTATTTTTATATGCGCGCACTTCACAACCGTACTTCCTTTTCCGTCTTAAATTTTAAATAACATGAATTGCTAATAGTTTGTGGAAAATTGAGATAACGTTACATAAAAACACTATGAAAAATAAAAAAATAAACTATTAATTAAACCCAGTGAGATATTGAGCGGTCCATAATAAAAGAATCACCCTGTATACGTATGTTTTTAAAGGTACCTCACTTGTGATGACAATGATGACGAAGTCTAAATGTGTTACAATGCGAATGCCGTTCAACATTCATGACGACACTTAGCTATAAATTTGCCACATTTTTTGTCCCATTCAACTTCATGATGACGGTAATTACCCATACCATACTCGTTAAGGTTAACAGTCTCTTCTATAAGTGTATAAGGATTCTCTTTAACCCATACTTCATGACAATGGTTGTAACGAATTTTCGGATGATGACAATGTGTTCCATGATATTGGATTATGACAGGAGTAGGATTCGGATCATAATTAGAAGAGTTTTCAGAAAAATTAGAGGTAGGATAAGGATAAGAAATAGGACGAATATATGCAGAAGGATTATAAGTTTGAGGAGTATTCAATACAGGAGGGTTGATAGGTAGAGCAACAGTATTTCCAGAAGCAATATTGGTCATGTTTGGAGGAAGTCCAGAAGTAGTATATGAAGAAGGATTATTAAGAGGGTTTGAAGTTTGAGGGTCAGCCAATACAGAGGGATTATAATAAGGGGTTAAAGGTTGAGCAATATTATATCCAGAAGGATTATTGGTCATGTTTGGAGGAAGTTGAGGATTAGTGTACGAAGAAGGGTTATAAGGAACTTGATAAGGACCAGGAGCAGAAGTGTAAACAACATTTGAAGGGGGAACACATTCATCATGGCAATCAGTATGACAACAGTCCATCGCTATAGAAACATGTACAAGTAATTTAAACATTATACAATTTGAAAGTAAAATGAAAATTATTAATCACTCTTTTTTGAAAACAAGGATCCAATAACAGTTAATTATTTGACAAGTTCGAAATATTTTACATGAACATTAAATCTAATAAAATTATTAATTAATTAATAAATAATTTATGTTGTATAATTATTATAAAATAAATCAAGATTATTATATTCGCACATTTTTTATTATCAAAAATCGACTGAAAACAAAAAATTTAAAACTAAAAGCTATCTAATATATCCAAGATTAAGGTGTCTTTATTGTGAATTGTTTAATATTGTTACTTAAATAGCGCGAACAAAATTCATTCATAAGTAAATAAATGTAAATAATTAAGCACTGGAATTCCCTAAATCAAAGAACTAATATAAAGTATAAGGTGGTGAAAAAACATACCTCTTTGTAGTTTACGAAACAAATCTTTTATATGAACTAAAATAATAATAAACAAAAAGTTAGGATAATTGACAGAATTACACATAATTCAGCATTGTTTAGAATACATAATATGATATGTATGTGTTTACTTATTTACACAAGGTAGTCCAGAGCACCCACAAGAATTAATGTTTTAATCTATGGATGAACCAATTAGTTCATATAGCAATAAGGTATGTGATTTCCTCCAGGACCGTATTTAAACAATAGTATATTGTTATACATACATCACACTGTGATGGAAATATGTTTCCAACCATAAGAACATATTAATACAAGTATTAGCAACTCTACCGATAAACGTTGCCCCTGCTGGAAGGAGTTTCTCTGCACTTAGGAGAATTAAAACATGGCTTCATTCAAGTATGACTGAAGATAGACCATCAGCATTATGTCTTATTTATGTGTATAATAAAGTGGATGTTTTAGATCAAATAGATCATATTATTGATATTTTTGCTAAAACTAAAAATAGACGGCTTGAATTTGTGTTGTAAAAATTGTTGTTTTTTTTTTTTTGACATGTTCATTTCTTAGCTCTGGCACATAACCGAAAAAAGCGGTCCTTACAAAAGCGTTACCACACGGAGATGGAGTTGGGAGTGGGAATGGGGATGAAGATGAGGTTGGGGGTAGAATATAAGGGTAGAGGATAGGGGTGGGAGATAGGGTGTGGGTGATAGGGGTAGGAGATAGGGGTAAGAGATATAGGTAAGATATAAGAGATTTGTTGCACGTTCAACGTACAAATTAGAACTAAATGTTGAATTCAAAATAGTTTTTACTCACAACAACGATGATGATAATGATGTGATCCACCTTATTGCATTACAGAAAAAAATGTATTTATTATTAGCTAACATAAAATCACGAATATGGTATATAGTTAATTTCAGACAATCCACTTGAAAATGAAGAAGTGTTAAAATACAACATATTATACACTTATATTACCCAATGATATTCCAGTGATGAAGAGAGCTAGAAAAAGAATGTTATTAAAATGTAGCATCGTGTAATAATGGAAAAATGTATGTTTCCAATTTAGAAAAACACCGTTGAGTTATGCAATAGACAACGCGATAACGTACAGAGAAAACTTTAACTGAACTTGATATACTTTATTTAGTGATTTCGTAGAAACGATTTTACTTAAGTGTGTCGCAAATGATGGTGATTTATTACAAATAAAAAAAAAAAAATGATACACCACAGTAAACACTGACAAAGTAAACAATTCTTCAGCAATAACAAATTTCGGTTAACGTTGGAACTATTCTAATGTTACAAATATTTTTCGAACACGATAAATGGAAAGACATATATAATTCATTTGAAGAGCAGAATTGTTTAATTGTTTAATTAGCATTTATTAATAAAGTAAAACTATAACACTGTATGTGTCATATCTAATCTTAATACAATCTTACAATTTTCCCTTATAATCTTAAATAATTCGCATTAATATCTTATGCTCATAACTAATTTACTTTATTCTCGAATACCTAACTTTTATTCCCAACAGCTTGTATATTAATTGTACATAATTTTTATATTTTGTGTCTTAATACAATCTATAACAACGTTTAAAACTATTTTTTTAATTCCCATAATATTTTTAAATTTACTCCCATGTAGTTTATTAAATTTCAATTTAATTTTAACATAATTTACTCATATTCAACATTATTTTACTAGTCATAATTATAAAAAAAAAATGTTTACCTTTTTGCTTTTGAGTTTAAAATGTTGAATTTTTTCTTCATTTATTTTTTAATTTTATTTCTTTAGTTAAAGTTATATATGTCTTTTTCATATACACACATGTTAGTTCAAGATAAAACTATAAAAATGTAATGACAAATCATTGTATAGTTACATTTTTACAATTGAAATTCTTTATTTAAAGTATAATTCAAAACTTTTAAATATTACTATCAAAAATATCTTTTTTTTTATATGTCGGTTCCATTTTACTTTTACATGTTTTTTTTTTGTACACAAATATAACTCAACTACAAATTTTTGAAAAATTTCATTTGAAGAGCAAAATTGTTTAATTGTTTATTTGGCATTTATTAATAAAGTAAATTTATAACTGTTTATCTGTCATATCTAATCTTGATCAAATCATGAGTAATCCTATTAATATATGAAGTTGATGTTCACCAATATACCTTTAATATCCCAATTTCTTTTTTATTAATATTTATTATTTTCCAACAAAGCAGAACCACTAACCGTAGAATACTTATTATACTATTTTCAACCAAACTTAGCAGTGATTCAAGTCACCGATTTGAATTTCCAAAGTCAAGTCGACTCGAGTTTTTTAAATGTTTGAGATATGCACAAACATATCATATTCAAACGTATCTCAGCCCATCACAATAACTACTTTTTAATTACTTCATTAATTTGTCTTTAACAACAAATTATGTTTTATTGAGAGTACACAAATTAACATGACCAATGAAAAACAAAACGATTTCAATTTACATGAGAGTAAAAGTTTACTGTGATTTAATGGTAATATAATGTTAATTGTGTAAATGTATAATAATAATTAAATAATAATAGGTTATAATGACTATTCTGTATTGAAAGAAACTGGATATTCTATGGCACCTTTGGATTTAATCTGAAATACAAAAAAAGTTATTATCATTCGTAGCTCAAATTAAAATTATTTTCATTACTAAAATAAGTTAATTTTTTATTAAATGAAGATTGTATTTATAAATGTAATTATATATATTCGGAGAAATCCGCTTAACACAAGACACTTGGAAAACAATTACAAATTTATAGTTTTACTTTTTTAAATGTGTTTATATTTTATTCATATGTAAGGTATTATAAAAAAATTAACTATTTTCTTTTTAGCTTCGATGTAGAAGGCGAAGATATTGTTTTAATAATGATGTATTTTTATTTTTCAAATTTTTTTGTCTAGATAGCTTTTAAACCGCTGAACCGTTTTGTTCATGACAAACGATCAGCTCAAATCGTATCCACTCTAATACTAAAAATCAATATTTTTGTACATGTCGCCCAAAAAGTTTAATATTATAACTATTTTTTTTGCGTAAGTATTGTAGATTTTAAATCAAATAAAAAAATTTTAAAAAACCACCCCTAATTTCAAATGGTTAACCCTAAATGGGGCATTTTTTAATTATGGTCAAATTTTCTACACAATTTTTTTATGTGTAAAAACACATTCGAGGGTTATGTTAGTAATAACCCCGAAAATTGCCAAGTCTATACTTAAAAAAGATAAATAATTGGTAATTTTTAATTGTCGACAAATAACATCAATAAAAACTTTTCAAAAAAAAAAAGCTATAAAATTGTAATTATTTTCCGATAAAACAAATGTCTTGCATTAAATAAATAACCGGATAAATACAGGGTGATTTTTTTATCAAGGGCCACTCAATATCTCAGAGGGTTTAATAAGAAATTAAATATATTTTTCATATTGTCTTTGTTCAATGTGATATCAACATTTCTCAATTTTTTTTCTTTTACCCCCCTTATCAACTAAGTTTTTTGTGACAGCATATTTTGAATTTTAAATGGTAACGCCTACATTCAATTTATTGAAGTCTCAAGTTTTGGGCAGGAGAAAGGGTGGAGTGTAGTGTTATTTTTATGTGCGCATACTTCACAACCGCACTTCCCCTCTCGTCTTAAATTTTAAATAACATGAATTGCTAATAGTTTGTGGAAAATTGAGATAACATTATATAAAAACACTATGAACAATAAAAAAATAAATTATTAATTAAACCCAGTGAGATATTGAGTGGTCAATAATAAAAGAATCACCCAGTATACGTATGTTTTTAAAGGTACCTCACTTGTGATGACAATGATGACGAAGTCTAAATGTGTTACAAGGCAAATCCCATTCATCAATGGTGATGACAATGTTTAAGTTGAAAAGTGTCATAATGTTCATCATATTCAACTTCATCATGACGGCGATTACCAAAACCATATGGGACAAGGTCAACAACATGTTCTCCACATGTATGAGGAAACTTTTGAACCCATCTTTCCTTACAGTGTTTATAATAAATGTTCTTCCGTTGACAGCGTGGGATACGATTCCTTATGACAGGAGTATAATTCGGAGCATAACTAGAAATGTTTCCAGTAGAACTAGGGGTAGTAAAAGGATAAGAAATAGAAGAAATAGGTGGGTTAGGATTATTAGTTTGGCGAGCAGGCAATACAGGAGCATTATAACGAGCAGTAGAAGTTTGAGGAGCAGCATACGCAGAAAGATAATTGGTATTACTTGAAGAAGTTTGAGGAGTAGTAAATACAGGAATATTGGTTAAGTTTGGAGTAGTTTGAGAAGCAGTATATGGAACCGGGTTATTAGAAGCTTTATAAGGAACAGCAGCAGGAGGGTAAGTCAAAGTTGAAGCGGGAGTACATTGAACAGGAGCACATTCATCATGACAATGCAAACGTTCCATCGCTATAGAAACATGTAAAATAATTTAAACATTTTTTATAATTTTAAAGTAAAATTAATCACACTTAATTAGTGTTAAATTTGAATTCACCACACAATAGTGCAAACAAATTGAATTACACACAACTTACTAAACTTAATGTATGGATAAAAAACTTATTAATGGGTTTTTAAAATTTAACTAGTGTACATAAGCGTTCGTCCTTTTTTGAAAACAAGGATCCAATAACAGTTGATAATTTTGGATTATAATAAATAGTTTATATTATACTATAATTATTAAGATCATTATATATTTCCCCATTTTTTCACCATAAAACGTTTGAAAGCAAAAAATTAAAAACAAAAAGTTATCTAATATATCCAAGATTAATTAGTTTTTTCGTGATTTGATTGATATTGTTACTTAATTAGAATGAACAAAATTCATTATTCTATAATTAAATAGATGTAGATCGTTGCGTCCACATAACTTAAATAATGTAAATAATTAAGCACTGGAATTCCCTAAATCAAAGAACTAATATAAAGTATAAGGTGGTGAAAAAACATACCTCTTTGTAGTTTACGAAACAAATCTTTTATATGAACTAAAATAATAATAAACAAAAAGTTAGGATAATTGACAGAATTACACATAATTCAGCATTGTTTAGAATATATAATATGATATGTATGTGTTTACTTATTTACACAAGGTAGTCCAGAGCACCCACAATAATTAATATTTTAATCTATGGGTTAACCAATTAGTTTATATAGCAATAATTAGGTTTTGTCATTTCCCCCCGCTTTAATGTGCTTCGTCCCAACATTTTATGAATTCATTTTTATGTATTTACTTATTGTACTGGTATCAGAAAACAATGCAATTAGGTAACTATTTTTCTGTATTGTATTATAGAACCTGTACGTTATAATTACAATCTAATGGAAATTTGCGTAAAATCAATGTTGTATACCAATTATATATTTCTAAACGACTTTTGAACAAGTACAAAACAATAGCCAACACTTAATGGTCGAGGTATACAGGGTGCTAAGTAGTCTTCACTCAAAACAAATTTACGAATGGTTCGGCGTGATAGAATTACTTTAAAAGAACAAATATTCTCAGCTGACGAGAATCTTACAACATTATTGCGGTATTTTAGTTAGTGTTATTTCACAGTGTTTAACAATATTTATGTGTTTAGATAAGAGAGAGAGATAAGAAATTAGTTATCACACGGAGATGGGGTTGGGGGTGGGAATGGGGATGAGATAGGGATGGGGATGAAGATAAGGTTGGGGTGGAAGATAAGGTTGGAGGGGGAAGATAGGGGTAGGAGATAGGGGGTAGGATATAGGGTAGGAAATATGGGGTAGGAGATAGGGGTGGAAGATAAGGGTAAAAGATAAGAGATATGATGTACGTTCACCGTTCAAATTAGAACAAAATGATAAATTCAAAATAGTTTAAGGGCCCGAATTCTCTATGAATTGTTTTAAGCCAGATATTAAACACTACAATATTAGCCAGAAACTTGATGTTTTAATGTACTAGCTTGTTACTGCTTCTTAATATACTATATCATTATCTATAATTCCACCACTACTCCAAATTTATTCGGTACTTCAACGAGACATGAAAATGCTCGTCGTGGCAGACTCGGCTGAAAAACTTTTTTTTACATAAATATTGCTTTTGGCTGAGGGTCAATAAGATAATCTGTGCGTGCGTTCATCACGCTGAACGTTACCGAGGAAAATTTGTGCGTGTGGCGCGATCTAGCGATTGCAAGTGATTATATATTTGTATTGACAAGACAATGTGTAGACAAAGACATATCCATGATCCTACGTGTCGGCTCGTTTTTCCAGAACTTTAGAAAATAAAAATTTAGCAAATTTAGCAATTCGCTTTTAGTTATACCGCGCAATTAATTTTTTAGTTTTTACTCACAATGATGATGATGATGATGATAGTCACGTGATCCATCTGAACCACCTTGTTGCATTACAGAAGAAAATGTATAAAAAATATTGAGTAATATTTATTGATGTGTAGTCAATAGTTAGTCGTTACTTACCAGTATGTGGACGTGGCTGACTTTTTGGGACTAAATATAAAACAAAAGAAATTAGGTATTAATATGAAGTCGTAGTTGCTTATTTAGGTTTGTGAAATTTAAATGTGTAACGCATTCAAGTGATCATATTCAGTCAAAACATTATCATAAAAGTTATTATTAGCTACCATAAAATCACGAATATGGTAAATAGTTAATTACAGATAATCAACTTGAAAATGAAAAAGTGTTAAAATAGAACATATTATAAACTTATTTTACCCAATGATGTTCCAATGATGAAGAGAGCTAGAAAAATAATTCTATTAAACTGTAGCATCGTGTAATAATGAAATAATGAATGTTTCCAAATTAGAAAAAAACACCGTTGATTTGTGCAATCGACGACTTGATAACGTACAGGGAAAACTTTAACTGAACATTATATACGTTATTTAGTGAAGTAGAAACGGTTTGACTTAAGTGGGTCGTAAATGTTTGTGATTTATTACAAAAAAATGATACACCATAATAAACACTGACAAAGTAAACAATTCTTCAGCAATAACAAATTACGGTTAACGTTGGGACTGATACTTTTCTAATGTTACAAATATTTTTCGAATACGATAAATGGAAATGCCGAATATACAGGTCACACCATAGTGGCAATGTGATAGGGGCCCCTATAGGTGAAAAAATTCAAATAAATCAAGAATTTCCAGTATTAGTAGGGAAAAAAATTAGGATTCATCGATAGTCTACAATCAGTTATTCCTTATCCAACCCCCACTGTACAGACAAATAATATCAAAATACTATTACATCACACACAGAACAATGCATGAAAATATATTCAGTTCACCTTCCCTCTTATCCTGCTATTGATTCAACACATTTAAAAGAGTTTTTAAAACCCCTAAGACCGAACTTTTTGGCAACGGGTGAGTTTAATGCCAAAACATTTACCAATGAGGCTGCACAACCGACAACTCAAGTGGAGAAATACTTCAACAAATCATAAACAATAACAATTACACGTCTATGTCTCCAAACGGCCCCACTTACTTGTAGTCCAGTCGACAAGTACTTAGTACCTTCGAAAAATTCCGACTTTAATGAAACTTTGGGAAGTTGTTTATGGGTGTCCAGTAGTGCTTCACCCAATTTATCCAACAAAAAAACCTTGTGGAATTTTGGGGAGGGGGAAAACCCCAAAATTTTCGCACTTTTTTTGGTTTTTTCGATATATTTCGAAAACGGTTAATTTTAGCTGATAATATTGAATTAGTAAAGTGTAGAATGCTAAATTTTCTACAATTTTTATATATAAAACTTTTTTTTTGACTGCATAGGTACTGAGATACAGAGTTTTGAAAAAGTACAAAATTTCTCAAAATCGTACAAAACTGCTAAAAAGGCTGGTTTTTTATATTTGTTTTTGATTTTGCAACATATTTAATGAACTTGTGGTTACTACTTCCATACGTTTACCCCCCCTACCCATAACTAAATCGATTCTCCCTCTCACTTCTTCCTCTGTTGGGTATTACACTATACAGTGTACACTGTGCATTTAAGGTTCGAATAAAATAACAATACTTGTTTTTTTTAACTAGTATAGACTTTATCCAGAGTGACCTTTATAATTATTTATGTATTAGTTCATTAGACTAAAAAAAAAAAGAATATGAAAAAGGCATTAATTTTATTTATTTTGTTAAGTACATTTTAAAGTGGGTATTGTAAAATATTAAGTTATATGAGGTTTATGAAAAAAAACTAAAACTCGATGTATTGACCGAACCAATTACGAAAATTATTGTTGTTTACTATCTTATGTATGGTGGCTAAAAGGTCAATTTTTAATTTTGGTTTGAATAATTTTATTTTAATTGTTTATGATTTACTCTAAAACTATAAATCGAATTACTTTTCTCATAGCTTAATCAGAAATTAGGCTTTTAACCACCACAGAGAAAACTTTAAGCTTCACAATAAAATTAAAATGGAAATCCGTCTTACTATTATGTTATAAAATGACTTTACGAGTTACTAATTATCAAACTAACGCCAAAACTGAGAAAAATGATATTAAAAGTTACAAAACTAGAAAAAAATAATATTTGTATGCCTTAAAATTAGTTGGTATGTTTAATTTTTTTTAAACGACTTCTTTCCTTGTTTCATCTGATAATATTAATTTATGTTATTAAAATATAATTCCCTATTAAAAAAAAACCCATTTTATATGGTTATAAAGGTAACTGTTAGCTTAACAAAAATTTTAATAACGTAAAACTTGATGTTTGATAAAAATATCACACAAAAATTACTTTGAAATAATAACTATCTTGATAAAAAAAAATATATCTAACAGAGGGTAAATGTACCCAGTTAATATAAAAGTACTATTTTTTCAGCTAAAAAAAAGTCAAATAAAATCTAAAATTTAGTTTAATGTTCTCTGCAAAGGGAAAAAGGGTTGTAATACTATTATTTCTATCTACATGATTTATCAAATAACACAAGAATTATTTATTCCATTACAAAGCAGTCTTTGGTTTCACTAGGTACATTTTTGTTATACTCTTAATAGGTGAATTAAATATGTAGCTTAAAATTTGAATGCTAAAAGTTACCCACAGCAATTATACTAAATAATAACTACTGTAAAATTGTTGTGTTTTGATTTAATAATAGTTTTTTTTTTATTGTCTGCGATATATATATACAGAGTGTCCCATTTTAAAATACTAATCGATTTTTCTCTAAAAATACTGATCCAATCAATAAGTTGCTTATTAAAGACTTTTAGAGTACAAAGGGGGACGTTATAAAAATTTTAAAAATAGGGTCCAAAATTCAAAATGGCTGACTTACGGTCAAAAACATGTTTTTTTTAAATGGAAACCATGTATTTTTTGTTAACCAAACAAATGTTCTTAACAAAACTAACAACTTTTGTAGGAAATTTTTTTCGAAAAACCCATAATTTAAATGGTAAAACCCATAATTTGTAAATTAAGTATCTTTAGCTATTTTTAGTTTTGATATTTTATTTTTATGCATATGGTAACCTTGTCACGTGTAGTAACTTTGGTATGTGTGGTAACCTTGGTTTGTGTGGTAACCTTGGTTTGTGAGGTAACTATGGTATGTGTGATAACTTGGTAAGAGTGGAAACCTTGGTTTGTGTGGTAACCACGGTATGTGTGGTAACCGTGGTATGCTTATAATTTCCTAACCTAACCTTACCATTACATTATCATTATCTTTATCGTTAACGTTATCCTCTTTTCTGTGTATCACAAAGACAAAACCCATGGTTATCACACATACCAAGGTTACCACACATACCAAGGTTACTACACATGACAAGGTTACCATATGCATAAAAATAAAATATCAAAACTAAACGTTAACGTTAACGATAAAGATAATGATTATGTAATGGTAAGGGGGGGGAGGAGGGGGTGTAAACGTATGGAAGTAGTAACCACAAATATAAAAAACCAGCCTTTTTAACAGTTTTATCCGATTTTGAGAAATTTTGTACTTTTTCAAAGCTCTGTATCTCAGTACCTATGCAGTCAAAAAAAAAGTTTTATAAATAAAAATTGTAGAAAATTTAGCATTCTACAATTTACTAATTCAATGTTATCAGCTAAAATTAACCGTTTTCGAAATATATAAAAAAAAACCAAAAAAAGTGCGAAAATTTTGGGGTTTTTCCCCCCTCCCCAAAATTCCACAAGGTTTTTTTGTTGGATAAATTGGGTGAAGCACTACTGGACACCCATAAACAACTTCCCAAAGTTTCATTTAAGTCGGAATTTTTCGAAGGTACCCCCGCGATTTGATCTTCTGACGACTGGACTATTGCCCCAGCATGAAAATAAACACCCGGAAATATTAGATGTTTTTCTTTTAACACTACCTAGAAATAGGGAATTCTCTATTAATAACTTGGATGACCTTATTGATCCTAAAATTAAATGAAATTCCAGAACTTAATCCTATAAACCCTGCTTTATCGCTAGGTCCAGTAAAAAATTTGTCCAACATTTTCAAACCACCTCGTTTCAAAATAAATACTTGATTGCCCAGAGGTGTAATCAAAATTAGCTTTTCATTATAACATCCCTATACAAATCCCTATTAAGGCCTATTTGGGCCTGGGCAATCCAAATTTGGGGTTGTGCAAAACCATCCCAATTTCGTACCTTACAAGCATTCCAATCTATGACTCTACATGGTATGCATCCAACTGCATATTTCCATTAACCCGACTAGCCACAAAACACTATAGCAAATTTCATTCCAAATTACCGACTCACTCAAACCCTTAAAAATCACAACTTTTCACCAATTCACTCCCCGGAAATCCCACTCGCCGACTCTGAAGACATTGGGGTCGAGATCTATTACTCTAACAGTTATTATCAAATTAATATAATTAAAAATAATTTGGAAAAAATCACGTTGGATTCTATCACTGGATAGCCTCCCTCCTCATTTTGTATCATCGTTTTATTTTTTCTGTATGTATATTTATGTGTGTATATATTATGCCTTGTAGCATAGATTGTAAATATTTTTTAAATAAATAAATAAACTAAATAAGTTGTGCCAGAGAGACCTTAATAATGTACAGAGAAAACTTCAAATTATTATAATACATATAATTTTAACAAGTGTTGCTCGACCTGAATAGAAATGGTTTTATTTGAAATATTTGTACAAATAAGAACATTTACAACAATAACAACAACAGTAGAAAACACAAAAACAATTTCGTTTAAATAAATTATTTAAAAATATGATATAAATAATTATTAAAAATGAATCAATACACTTATTATGGCAAACAAAATTAATTCTCCTCTATTTATCTTGATAATTGCGTACACATAACTAGGCAAATATAAAATTATGTCATACTGGAAACTTCCTAATTGAAGGAAATGGAACCAAGTGGAAACACAGCTCTCTTGAATGTGCCCGAAAAGCAATAGGTTATAACAATTATTATTAAAATAATATTGCCGGTAATAATGGTTGAAGTCTTATTAAATTGTATAATATTAATTAGGTAATGTCATAAGACGTTGATTTCTTAACTAACTTGCGAACGGCCTAACTCACAAAAGCGTTAGATTGGCTCAATGTAAAAAGTAGTGAGTGAATAGCTGGTGTGTAACAGTGTTCAAAGAGAAAGATAAATATCAAATATCGATGAGAGTTTTTTTTTATCCACTCAATCTATTCGCCCTACTTCCCGTCCATAATCTTAATGACAAGTTAAAACGTGTTTTCTTGAAAATTATTTATCAACAAGTCTTTATACATTTTACATAAAGTATTTGCCACTTTGTTTGTGTAAAATAATTGCTGATAATTAAAAAACAATGTCT